ACTGATAAATTCACCCCAAACTAATTAGAGATGTCACTTCACTGTATTTGATTTAATCATCACTATAACGGCTATCCATTAATATTATTTCAGTATAATAATTTATGGTTATTCACTAATCATTATTAGTCACCATAATTAATTATCCACTTTAATTATCTATTTATTCGTTATAATGAGCTAGTATGCTTCTTCATTTAAGGATTATCAATTACTTAATCACTTATGATTATTAATTAATTATTGTATTTAATAAATTAATTATTACCCGTTAACACACCAGTTGGCAGAAAACCAAATGAATTGGGAAATATTTACCCAGGGTCCTTCTTTAAAATGTCCAAAATAACACACAAAAAAGACAATCGCTTCATGCTCAACAAGTCAGAAAGTAGGAAAGAAATCAGAAGATGACTTTGCAGCCACAGGACAATGAATTCATGGAATCACCTGCCTCGCAAAGTTGCAAATGCCAAGACATTATTATATATCAAAATCCAAATGGAAAAATTACGCAATAATAATGGAAAGACCTTTAATAAGTCGCTAGTCGTGTCCCCGTCGTAGCCACTAGAGACGGTGACCCTCGGGCAAATTCAGGTATACACTTGAAAAAACCTGTGTAAATCAAACGTATAGAAAAAAATATACACGCATGCTTATAGACACAAAATACACCCACATACAAAATCACACACACACACACATATAGAAGACGGGACACCACGAGCGTAGCTCTCATCCTGTAACTACACTTAGGTAATTACACACACACACACACACACGCACACACACACACACACACACACACACACATACACACACACACACACACACACACACACACACACACACACACACACACACATACACATACACACACACAATTTGTCAGTTGATTGACAATGTAGAGGTGGGGACCAAAGAGCCAAAGCTCAACCTCCGCAAGTACAACTAGGTGAGTCAAACTAGGTGAGTACAATCCAAACTATACATATTTACATGCAACTTCCGACCAATAAACACCACAGTGCTGCATAAGGTCCACTTTGCTTATAGTTTAATTTCTATCCAAATTATACATAGATTCCCCATGTTGGGAATAGTTAGCTTGTATCTAACCACATTGAGGTCCCTTTCAGTTCAGTTCATTCTCGACTCACAATCGGAAATTCTGGGTTCGAATCCCGTGTGGGACAGAAAGGACGCGTTTCCTATCACCTAATGCATCTGTTCACCTGGTAGTAAATGAGTATCTATTGTAAGGTTACATCCTGGGAAGGGTCTGAAGTCGAACTCGAGGGGGGAGGGGGTGGGGGTGAGCTTGATATAAGCTTAACATGTATATGTATACTGGCGGCCTGTCCCCCGACACAATGAATTATTATTATTATTATTATTATTATTATTATTATTATTATTATTATTATTATTATTATTATTTTTGTGGATTAATGAACCGAAAGATGAATCGATAGTCGCAGACGGAAGTGAGTTGAAGAGGTTCGTTCGGGAACAGGAAATTCGTCATTACACACTTCCGAACTGAAGCTCGTAATATTGCAGAGCGAGAAGTACACTCCTCTACTCTGGGTATACCGAGAGTTTACTGCGGTCCTGGGCTATGTCTAGGACTAAGGTAAACTTTCAGGTTGGTCAGTATGAGGTATTGTGGTGACCTTTAAGCCTCTCCGGGTTGACAGGTTTTTTGTCAGACCAACACCAAACGTTCCTGACTAGTGGGAGGAACGTTTCCGCTGTGATTACTGGGTTATTTTGCTGCCGCGAGGCGCGACTGGCTGCACCCTCCGGTGTTGTACTTATTTATTTATTTATTTATATACAAGAAGGTACATTGGGATTGTGAGGATACATAGCATGGTAATTACATTCTTGTAAAGCCACTAGTACGCGCAGCGTTTCAGGCAGTACTGGTACTGGTAGGATCAAGAACACTCTTACATTATTGTACAGCCGCTGGGACGCATAGCGTTTCGGGCATAGCGATACAGCCACTAGCATAGCATAGTGTTTCATAGCGAAACGCTATGGATGTTGATAATGCCTCCCTGATTAACCTGTCCATATATCCTGCGTCGTTTTCTCCCCCCCCCCCTCTCTCTCTCTCTCTCTCTCTCTCTCTCTCTCTCTCGAGGGAGAGGGAGGAGCATAGACTGTATGAAGGGGAGTACAGTATGTGTCAAGAACAAGTTACATGATGCTAAAAATCCCCATCCCACAGGATGGTAAGTCATACAAGGCCATGTGACCGGTAGTCTGCACTGGCAAACTCTAGATGCGTTATGTACCTTGACTTTAGCAAAGCTTTTGATACAGTGCCACATGAAAGACTGATTAAAAAAATAGAGTCTCATGGTATTGGGGGTGCTATATTAAGCTGGATTAGGGCATGGCTATACCAAAGGAAACAGAGAGTTAGTATAAATGGAATCAAGTCAGAGTGGGAAAATGTTGTAAGTGGAGTGCCTCAAGGCTCTGTCCTGGGACCTCTGTTGTTTATAATATATATAAATGATTTAGATTCAGGTTTGAGTAGCAACATTTGCAAATTTGCCGATGATACGAAAATCGGTAGGGAAATTAATTCGGAGGAGGACTCACTATCACTTCAAGTTGATCTAGATAGGGTTTTGAAATGGTCAAAGGATTGGCAGATGCAGTTTAATGCTGATAAATGTAAAGTTCTGAGGTTAGGTAATGATGATAGAGTTACAAGATACGAGCTAGATGGTGTTGTGATTGCGAAGTCGGATTGCGAAAGGGATCTGGGAGTTATGATTAGTAAGAATTTAAAACAAAAGGATCAATGCATAAATGTTCGTAATAAGGCAAATCGGACACTTGGATTTATTAATCGCAGCGTTAGTAACAAGACACCTGGTGTGGTTCTCAAGCTATATCTTGCTCTAGTTAGGCCCCATTTAGATTATGCAGTTCAGTTTTGGTCGCCATATTATAGAATGGATATAAATTCACTTGAACGTGTCCAGCGTAGGATGACTAAGTTAATTCCCCAAATTAGAAATCTTTCATATGAAGAAAGATTAACAAAGCTTAAGTTGCATTCACTGGAAAGGCGAAGAGTTAGGGGTGACATGATAGAGGTTTACAAGTGGATGAATGGACATAACCGGGGGGATATTAATAGGGTATTAAAAGTATCAACACAGGACAGAACACGAAACAATGGATATAAATTGGATAAGTTTAGATTTAGGAAAGACTTGGGTAAATACTGGTTCAGTAACAGGGTTGTTGATTTGTGGAACCAATTGCCGCGTAACATTGTGGAGGTGGGGTCCCTCGATTGTTTCAAGCACGGGTTGGACAAGTATATGAGTGGGATTGGGTGGTTATAGAATAGGAGCTGCCTCGTATGGGCCAATAGGCCTTCTGCAGTTACCTTTGTTCTTATGTTCTTAAGATATCAAGAACACAAGAGTGACGTAGCAGTGATACTACAAGCAAGTGGAGAATTGCTTAAAATCTCTACGGAAAACAATTCCGTGATTTATGACTTCGTGAATAAATTACGAGTCGATATTTTATAGAGAGGAGCACTAAGGGTCGACCCGGACTGGCCAATACGACTCGTGTATCAGTCTGAGAAGGTGAGTTAGACGAGCTCTAAGCGTGTTGTCTCCCAATTCGGACGGAGAGCAGCCCGTCCTCATAAACAAAGACCCAAAGACCGTTCCATGCACCCGCCCAACCCCCCCTGTTTACGAATGATAACCGGTTTACACACGACTCATAACTGATGACGTCCGCGACACTTCCGCTTTGCTGGCGACGTTTGTTTGAACCCCAACGCTGTCAATGCTTCACCCACGTGCTACAAATACTCGTCAACAAAACCTAAACGCCTAACGTAAGCTAACCAATGCCTAAATATGCACAATATACTAATATATATATAGCAATGTAAATTTATATTTGAGACAATTCTTATTTTGAATGAACAGCATGTTAAAATTGATGAATGTGTCCTTGGGGTTGACCGCTGGATGTAATGGGCGTGGTCTGAAGATGGGATGTAAAGAGACATTATCATTTGCATATCTATATTATAAGATAGAATAACTGTTTCTGTCTATTCAAAGCTGGAGGACAGACGCCTGGGGATAGCCTCACTCAAATTTGCAGGGGGAATGACCTGGGGTACGGAACGGACATAGGGTGGTCGGGGGTCGCCAGAATTAATGAGGGAACAGCATGCCAGGGGACGCCTAGAGTTGTTTTATTGTTTCTTAATAAATTTAATGGAATGATCTGCTACCTACAACTGTCACTTTTAAAGATAATTAAAAGTTGTAAAGTTATAAAGCGCTGTTTATCTTACCTAAGTTATCTTGTAGTGAAAAATAAATAACTGGCATGATTTCTTGTTAACATTTACAACTTCATATTAAGAACTTATTTTTATCACATAATACATTGATTTTCTTAATTTTAGTTATTCATAAAGAGTTGCTCTACGCCTATCCAAGCTTGTATTAACTAACTTTAATTCAGATCCTGATGTTTTAGATCACTGCATTTATAATAAACCATATTCTTGATAAATATCCGGATTATTGGTGTATACGATGAGTTTACTTTAATCCTGGACTATATTTTGGACTAAAATACACTTCAGAGGATTGTCAGTAAAATTGTTTTGGCCTGAATAACCCTCCCGCGATTGAGGGAGGACCCTTTTGAGCCAACCAGTATCAATAGATGATACTGGAAAATGCAAGACTTGACTGCGTCGCGAGCCTGTATATAAGGCAGTGGAGAGCGTCACGTCTCCACTCCATTCTACTCGAGGACACAGAGCGCTGTGGGTACCACCAGTCCTGCCCAGCACGCTGTCACCTCTCCTGACTACTCCAGTGACTTGAGGTAAAACATCTCTCTCTCTCATTCGACTTGAAAATGGTCCCAGGACGGACCGAAACGTCGTCAGTCCCTTCACTTTCTAGCATGTGGTTTGGTCAACATCTCTCTCTCTCTCTCTCTCTCTCTCTCCCCTGTCGTGTGTTTACTTCTCAGTGGTTATGGTAAAGTGGGGTGAGGTTAGGTTAGTTCTTTATGTCATGTTGTACCAATTGGGTTATAGTTGATTCTGACGCTCGAATTCTTGATCAAGTCTGACTTTGATGTATGTATGTATGTATGTATGTATGTATGTATGTATGTTTGTGGTGGTTTAGTCAGATGCATTTCGGGTTAGGACAACTCTTTGTTTTAACCATTGTTTTATACGTTCTATTATTATGTCATTTATTACATGTGCTTGTAATTTGAATGTCTCACAGAAGAACCTGTCCTCTTACCAGTTACGTCGGAATTTAGCCGTTTGCCCGTATGGCCGAAAACTGACGTAATTTGAAAATAAACAAAAAATTCAAAATAAATTGGGAAATTTTTTTCCGAAACAGTAAGTTAAGAGTCCTCTGGTAGGTTAAGAGGGCAGGAAAATCTCCTAAAGCTTCAAAACATCATGAAAAACGTTAATTGAAAGTTTGCTCACTTAACCAAACAGACTAAGTTCAAGGACCCCAGACAGAAAACGGGAAAAGCATTACCCTCGTGAGCCGATTTAATTTCAAATTACGTCAGTTTTTTTTTTTTTTTTTTGCCATAGCGCGAAATGCGACGTTATTTTGAGAGGACGGGTTGGCGTTAGCGAAGTCCATGTGCGTTACTTCTACCGTGAGTCCTTTGTCTGAATAGCTGGTTACTTTTTCGAAAAATCTGAGCGGGACTGTTATGCAGGATACATTTGTAACAAAACTCTATTGCGTTGATTTCATTCCATTGTTCACAGTGAGATTGTGAATGATTCCTTCCTTTTCGGATTCTCTCCATAAGCTTTGTAAATATGCGAGGTCAGGCTTATTAGATAGTAATTTTCTCCCTCACGTTCTCATGTCACCCCACGTCCTAACTACGGGCTCACCATAGCCCGTGCTACTTTGAACTTTTTGTTTCAAGTAGCGAATCTTTTAACAACAACAACAACAACCCGCGTCCTCATTACATTAGTGTTGTAATGTTGTAATAAGACTTAGTGTTTTCTCCTGACGCGTCTGCTGGGTCGTTGAGAGCCGCCGCCTCCCTGGCTCCCAGACATATCCCAGCCAGGATGTTCTTCCTGACATTAGCTAACCTCTGACATTCACCCGACGTTAGCAGCGTGAACACTTAGCTTTTGTCGGTGCTTTCATCAGAGCCTCAGGCGTGGCCAGGTGGCAATCACCCCCGTGACTCAGTCGTTGGCCACGTTACAACCGCCTCTGTGATTCCCTCGGTGCTTTCATCATATTAAAACGAAGGCTCAATTGAAGATGTGTGCACCACTCGATCGGTCAGGTTAAAGCCGCCACTGGATGGGTGACTGTGAACTGCCTTAACCTTGGTGTTGGGAATAGAACCAATCAACTGCGGGAGGGTTATTGAGTCCACCACAATAGCTTATTATTACTCAGTGCCAAGCTATTTTACAGAGAAAATAAGTAGATACTTAATGTACAAAAAGAGTTGAGTGTTACATCAGTTCTGTCCAGCATAAAGACCTACACACTACTGAGGTTCTCTACATGGTAAGTGAACAGCTGCACCTCTCATCCTCTTTGTGTTTCAAAACTTACATAACTACCATTCATTGATAGGACGGCTCATTAATATAACTTTTAAAGCTTAAATAACTATTAATCACCTGCCCTGCATAAGAAATAATCCTACCACAAAGCATTCCCGCAATATTTGTTAGTCATTTGAATATATGATCCGCACTGTCTCTTTGAATGTCAAATTCAAAGGCAGCAACGCTGCCTCCACCCTTTCCCTCTGTGAAATAATTGATTTATGTGAGCGGCTCGCCAGCAGCCAAGAGATGGTTAAATCACTGTGTCTACAGGATACCTGTTGAAGACACGAGAGGCTGTAGAGGATGCGGTCGTGGACACTACTGACGGTGATGAGTCTGATGATGATGGTGGTGCTGCAGCAGCCGTGCCAGGCTCAGGTCTCCCCGGAGCTCATCAATCTCATCATCAACAAACTGGGCGGGTGAGTTGATTAGTGGCCCGTCAGGTAATTATGCAAATGAACAAATCCACAAGGGCCGTGACGAGGATTCGAATCTGCGTCTGGGAGCATCCCAGACACTGCCTTAATCGACTGAGCTACGACAGGGTAAAAGGGTTGAAACCGAGGTTATACTGAACTTACTGCGGACCTTGTGGATTTGTTCATTTGATGCATCACGTTAGTGTGATCTCTGTGTGTAAAGTATTATGCACTTTGTTAAATTCACGATGAGCAAAATAAATATTTTTGAACTTTTTTAATGAATTATTAAAAATATGCTGAAAATTTGCGCAAACTTAAAAAAATTCTTCGTTATAATTTAGCTAAATCGATTATTTTACTTATAGTAAAATTAGTTTTGGCTCAAGTACTTGAAGACATATTCTTCAATATTGGTAAGCCTTGGCCAGGATTCATCAAGCATTTACGCAACTATTTAGAAACCTATACATCTTTCCTCAATCATGGCGGATTTGTTTACTCAATAAACAATATTTAACTCCGAAGCACTGTGAGGTTGTTTATGACAATAATAACCTTGAATTGAGAAGTTACGAAGCCTCACAAATTATTTAATAAATGTAAACAAAGCCGCCAAGAGTCTCTGTTGTCTCATTTGCATTTTGTTATCGTTTTTTTCATTAAAAAGACAGTTTATAAAAGTTATTTTGTCCCAGGTTATGGAAAGATGGAGAGGTGGAATTCATGGGCCGCGCCTGCAACTACAGCTACAGTCCCAAAATCAGCGGTTGGCGTCTCTACTACAAAGGAAAAATGTGGTGTCCGGGTTGGGCGCCCTTCTCTGGCGACTGTGAGTATCTTAGTAGGGTGTGGTTTGACGTGTATGTCTGTGTGTAGCTAATTGTATACCATGGTCTGTGGTCTCGCGTGTATGTCCATGTATAGCTAATTGTATCCCATGGTCTGTGGTCTCGCGTGTATGTCTGTGTGTAGCTAATTGTATCCCATGGTCTGTGGTCTCGCGTGTATGTCCATGTATAGCTAATTGTATCCCATGGTCTGTGGTCTCGCGTGTATATCTGTGTGTAGCTAATTGTATCCCATGGTCTGTGGTCTCGCGTGTATGTCTGTGTGTAGCTAATTGTATCCCATGGTCTGTGGTCTCGCGTGTATGTCCATGTATAGCTAATTGTATCCCATGGTCTGTGGTCTCGCGTGTATGTCCATGTATAGCTAATTGTATCCCATGGTCTGTGGTCTCGCGTGTATGTCCATGTATAGCTAATTGTATCCCATGGTCTGTGGTCTCGCGTGTATGTCCATGTATAGCTAATTGTATCCCATGGTCTGTGGTCTCGCGTGTATGTCCATGTATAGCTAATTGTATCCCATGGTCACGTGTATACATGTGAACCTGTATATTGTTACGGAGTGGGGCGGGAGGAGAAGAACTACATTACTGAAAGGGATGCGGATGATACGGTCACTGCGCTTTCTTTGTTACGTTCTTCAAGACTACGAGAATATCCTTTTCTCTCTTCCCTATACCCCTCTACCCTCGTACCGAAGTCGGCGCTTCGGTACGAGGGTCAGCCCATCCTCCGAATAGACAGTACGTTTTAATCCTAAATGCAATGGCTCACGACTGACTGGTCGTGGATTTCATTCCCTGGCAGGGCGCCATGTTTTGGCACGTCACCTTTTCCCTAATGGTTCTATTCACCTTGCGATAAATAGGTAAGTTGAATCAATATTTATTAATTTGACTAAACAATCGGTTTCCAAATTGTATAATGAGTTGTGTCGAACCTTAATTGTCATTACCAATGGCCATTCTTAAGAGGAAAGGAAAGATGGAGTCATTCACAGTTGAGCTACACATAAGAGGCATAATTGGCCGACCCCTCACAGTGTTCAAGAGAGAACTTGACAAACACATCCAAAGGAATACCTGATCAACCAGGCTGTGACTCATATGTCAGGCTGTGAGCAACCGCGTCCACCAGCCTGGTTGACCAGTCCAGCAACGAGGAGAAGGCCTGGTCGACGACCGGGCCGCGGGGTCGCTGAGCCCCGGAATCACCTCAAGGTAACCTCAAGGTAAGGTAGGAATGGAAGGGGCCCTCGGCTACAGTTCTTGTCTCTAATGTTTCCCATCTTACCCAGTGGGTAAAATGGACAGTGGGAAGCCCTTTCTCACAGTGGAGAGAGGACTGCCATGCGCTCGCGTCAAAGGAGAAGGAATTGATTGATGAAGATTAAGCCGCCCAAAAAGTGGCACGGGCATGAATAGCCCGTAAGTGGTGGCCCTATTAAGCCATTACCAGTATCAAGAGCTGATACTGGAGATCTGAGGAGGTGCGACTGCACCCTGCATGACGGGAGATGTCTCCCGTGGAGAAGGAATTCTTTCTCGCGCTCTTATTAGGGAGAGGAAGAAGCATAACTGGCTACGAACGTTCTGTCACACGGGCTCACCATAGCCCGTGCTACTTGGAACTTTATGTTCCAGGTAGCGAATCTTTAACATCAACGTTCTGTCATCCTAGCGATTATCATGGGAGAAAGAATATATATGCAAGTCACTTGCTAATATCAGGAGAGAGAGACGTTGCTAATATCAATTACTAAGGAACGGATTATAACAAATTTGGTGTGACTGATAGACCACATGTTATATACCGTTAACAATATGGGAGGATTCATTAATCTCGTATGATTCTTCCTTTACAGCCCAAACTAAGAGTAGAGCAGGAGCCATCGAGCACGCCACCAGGGACTTCGTCAGGAAAGCCATCGAGAACAAGCTTATTACCGCTGAAGAAGCTGCAGCTTGGCTCAAGCAATAGGAGTCTCTCCTAGTCCGGAGGGTTTTAAAAGTAGTGGCCTTTCGATAATTTTAAGTGGTCTAAAAATTTATATTTTAATAAACAGAGACCAGCCAGTGTTCCTACAGGCAATCACCCCTTGACTGTCTTAAGCTGTCGTAAAAAAAAAAAAACACCATTACAGAACAAATCCACAAGGGCCGTGACGAGGATTCGAACCTACGTCCGAGAGAATCCCAGACGCTGCCTTAATCGACTGAGCTATTACCATTACGGGTTTCTGCTCACAGCATTTTTGTCGAATCTTTGCAAGCATTATTTGAGTGAGAATAACGCTAGGCTTCAGAGAAGCTCCACACAGTATCAGGATGTGCAATAAACTAAGGCAATTATAGTTAGGAAGGCAGAAGCAACATGGTATACACGCCCCCAAGTCTCACTGTAAAACAAGCATATTCTCCAGTGTTAATTAAATTTTATTTTAAATGTATTTGCATTTTATTCCTCCTTTGCCTTAATAAGATGCGTACCAACAAATGTGCATACTTTATGAACGAGTATGTAAATGCTTTTATCCACGTTATAAATACTAAGAAAGTTATCGGGAAAACGTCAAGCAAGTATGACTACCACATGGAAAGTATATGAGGCCAAGGAGCTGGGATATGAAGCCTAGGAGCTGGGATATAAGGACAAGGAGCTGGGATATGACAAGGAGCTGGGATATAAGGACAAGGAGCTGGGATATAAGGACAAGGAGCTGGGATATAAGGACAAGGAGCTGGGATATAAGGACAAGGAGCTGGAATGAGGACAAGGAGCTGAAAGTGCTGACACTCTTCGGTGTTCTATGCTAACTGCAATCTGAAAGCCACACCATGAGGACCACAGGTAAGGGCCACCTTACCTGTGGTAAGGGGGCCCTTAAGGCCACACCATGAATACCACGTACACCTGAAGGCCACGCTCTTAGGGCCACACCTGGGAGCATTAACCAGCCACCACCGTCAGCACAGATGTTCAGAACAACATTTAACATTCTCACGAGCATCTCTTAGATATTAAAGAGACCACCTGTACGCCCCTTACTCAATTCAGTTCAGTTTAGTAACCATATTCAATAATGTCTGTTTAGTATTTAAAGTTCTCTTAGGTTACATGAGTTTTCAGTAAGTTATTTACTTACAAGAAAGTCATAATATCAACATGAGTAACTGACGATGAGAATACGGTCTAAAGGACTTATATAAACTAATCATTCAATGTCTTTATTAAAAAAAAAATTCACGAACTCAGGCGATGAGTCACAATAACGTGGCTAAAGTATGTTGACCAGACCACACACTAGAAGTCGTCCCTTCACCTTCTAGTGTGTGGTCTGGTCAACTCACGAACTCGGCATTTTCAATCAACAAATTCTAGGACTAAATCACTCCCAACACAATTGATGTAGCATTGATCTCACTTCAATAGGTCTCAAAATGCCTGTCAGTAAGTCATCTCTCTGTGACAATAGTTCCTTCAAAATTCCAATTATCCAGCTGAGGGGGGGGGGGAGGTTTTCCCTGCTTTCTCTGCTGACTTGTTGCTTTATTCTATCCTATATACCTGCTGCACCATTATATAAATATCACTCAATTTTAAGTTGTATTACCTAACAATTAAGTTTATATTCCTGGAAAAGATGGGAGTGGCTAGTGACTAAACAGGAATTTTCTCAA